AGTTTCCCAATAGTTTACCATAACCACCATGAGGTATCGACATTGAGTCTTTAACACTCATCAGAGATTAGAAGTTTAAGTTTCCTAAAGGCCTGTATCAGAAATATTTAACTGAGGCGACTTGGAACAATCTACACATGCAAGTTAGCATATGGTAGTCATCTAATGCTATCTAATCGATCTCGATCATTCCAATTTATAAAAAATAACAGAACGTTTTTGTGCTGTCAACAGAAATAGTCTAACTAACAAGAATGGATTTAGTTGTACAATACGCCATCGACCTATTCAAGTAAATATAGAGTTAATAGAATAGATGAAAACGACAACAGAAAGCTAAATACAGATTTCTTATGAATATATACATCTAGTTTCAGCCAATTAAGGTGTAATGGAGTGAATGAATGGAAAAAAATACTTGAGTGGCTCTGAAGCATTAACCAATACTTTGCTTTATCACACTAATCTATCAAATCCAAGTATCATCTTAACCGTTATTGCTACCAATGTTTCAATCTTGAATTGAATGTTTTTTTCTGTGGCACATATTATCAAGTGCTCAAACAACTATTATTATTTGCTGATACTTGTATTTTTCTGTTTTTATACTGCATCGAATTGATATTCAAACAAATGATCCTTAAGCTCTATGCAATACATTTTACAAATCCATTGTAAGTTATAAGCACACATAAATAGCACTTACTCTTTCCTCTAATTGAGGTTTCACACGAATGATTACCAAACCGTGCTCATGACTTGTACAATGATATCACTTTAACTGTAGTTCAACTGTAAATCCAGTCGATTATAAACAACATAGATTTCAATACTTAGTTGAAGAATAGTGTAGAGAAAAGAGAAATAACTGAAAACACTTATTTGTGTGTATAATTCTTCAATATACAGGTCAGAGACATGAAAATTGTCCTAGAAGAAAACTGCTTCAATTCTTAGTATGATCTCAACGCGTCTGATAAATTACAGCACCTAGAAGTGGAGGTTCTCTGACAGAGAAACATTTTACGATTAGGCTTTTGACTACTAATAAGTAGTTAGAATTCTATGCCAAATTAGTTTATTTGGTATGGCACAGAAACAGCATTATATACTGTACACTAGTAACGAGCACAACTTATTGTTCATTATCACACCAAGGTAATATACAACTGCTTGACTTACGTTTTATATAGTTATGCTCCTTTCCCTTCTTCGATTTTATCGACATTAAAACTGTCTAAACATCTGGAATCGATGTTGAGTCGTTACTATCGTTACTATGTTAGGTGTCGAATCGATGAACAAAGATTCAGTGATCGACGTCTTCTTTCACCCAACTACATTAGTCTTTGAGACAGGAACTCTGTTATGAACTACTGTATGAATTTGTATTTTTGTTTTCACACCAATGGCTGAATTCCTTCTTAGACTACTCATCTGAGTAGGGTCTATCATTTTAGATTTTAGATTTAGCTAATTCCCTATGCTTTGTTTACCTGACTGACCTCATTTAGGTTATCTGACGAATGTACTTAACTTCACAGTCATTGCAAAATAATTGCTAAATTGAATTACTTTGCCTTACTGGGTCGACAGAATTCCTAAGCTGACAAAGTTTATCTCTGAGCGAATTTGTTTATGTGAATGACACCGGAAACCCAGCTTTACTAAGAATTCCACGTAGGGGTTCTGATATCGTCTGGTTGTATGACAACACTGTTGAGGCCTTAAATCTCTTCTTAGTAATGTCACAATCGCTGCTGACAGCATTATTTTCCCTACTAGAACGATGAAAACAACATCCATCAATTGGTAAATGAATCTCGCTTATAGTACAGTTTTTGTAACGGGTAATGACGAATACATTCAAACACAGAAATATGATATGGGATAGACATTTAAACGATTTCTATGGCTGACTATCAATTTAAGAAAAATAAACTTAATCCACTGTCGCAGATATCGAATACAAAATATGTTTGGCACATACCTTTACGAAAAAGAACCAGCTTGTCTTAGAAACTCGGATGCTGAAACCAATTATTCCAACTATTTTGTCAATAGAAAATATCATCATCTACCAACATAGGACCAGGAATTACTGCGTAACAGTAAAAGTTACCACACCTCATATCAATACATCAAGTAAAAAAGGCAGTGAACTACAAGATGAAGATGAGAAAATTCAGTCAACAGAAATATAAAGTACGAAAAGAGAGAAAGGAAGAATGAGAAAATGGCGAGATTCGGTATAGCATCGTTAAGATGAGGATAATGGATAATGTATGTATACATCTCCACCACTGACATCAGTTCTGAGCCATATCACCTACAGTCTCCAACCACTGGTTCCTCTTGTCCCCTGGACCCCAACCACCTAGTCTGCATCGCCCCACATGACACAAATCAACAGTCAAACACTTCATACATTGGTACCATATTTTAGTCTGGCCACCTCAGGCCTTTTTCTAGCCTGGACCTATTTCGGTCAACATTGTGTGACGAGGTAATCGGTGACTAGGCATACGTAACACGTGTCCCAACCATCTCACTCGATGAAGGTTCATAACCTCAACAACTGACTTACCTCTTCTCCCTACAACTTCACACCTGACTTCGGCGTTACTCACCTGGTGATACCATAGAATACGGCCTATACTACAAAGGCAATGGAAGTCAAACACCTGAAGCCTTCTCATGTCTTCCACCTTCAATGGCTACGTTTCACAGCCATACAGCAGAACAGACCGAACTGCTGTGCAGTACACACAACCCTTGGTAGACAATCGGATATCACGGCGGCGCCATAAGTGGCGTAAGTTGGCGAAAACCAGCCGAGCCTTTCGTATCCGTGCAAAGATTTCACCGGCCACTGAGCCATCAGGGGTGATCCTACTTCCCAGGTAAGTGAAGTGGTCAACACACTCAACCACTACACTCTCTACTGTTGGCCGATGCACCGTTGAAGACTACAATAAAAATATGAGATGAAATATTAAAAACAGTCACTATTAGCATTCAAAAAACAGTTGTAAACCACAGCCCAAAATCTAAAGGTATATAAAAAGGAAATGTATGCGCAAACGAGTCACTATAAGGTCCTATATAGCTAGACTTACAGCTGACCTGGACACCCTTAATTGAATGTAACAAGTCACTTATTGGTATGTGGTAAAGCACTTCGGTTACAGACAGTGGGTACCTATAGCTACTATACCATAGTAAACTTTAGGAATATTTTATAGGGGGAGAGTGATGGCGTTAAAAGTTGTACTTTTGAATGACTGACTGACTTCAATCGAGCAAACAATGCAGATAGTGATTTTGAGGTGGTAAACGCCATTCAGCCCAGTCTTTAATGATGCTTTTGTTTTCATTTGTTTAAAACCACTATAGGTTTGGTTATTCATCAAATAAAACCTGACCTTTATGTTCGAACATTCGTATCCAACCTTTTCTCAACTTGTAACCCTTTCGTCGGAATACATTTCGAATACTTTTTTATTTCTTGGTTTTAACAATCTTCGATGCTGGTTCACCTAGTCACGCTTATATCTGCTATTCACTTTAGCAAATGTACCTTATTACAGTTGCGTAGTGTATTATTTGTTAACTAATTTCGTTAATTTTACACACCTTGATTACTATATAGATAACACAACCCTTACATAACTCCTTTCTGTGATCAGTTAAACTCCATAACTCCATGCCAACGATGAATAATATATGGAGGTGAAACATGGCTCATCAAAGGTAGACAACATATGAAGGCTTCAAGTGCTTGATAACCGGTGTCTTCGTAGCACACACCAAGTGTCATGGTGCCACCATGCTAGCAACGTAAATATTGGGCGTAGAGTTATAGGTAGGAGAGGAAATTCAATCGATAAGGCTGTGAACCCTTATTGACTCAAGTGGTTAAGACATGTGTGACAAATGCCTAGTCACCGTCCGCTGGTTAACTGAAGGAAGTTCGGGCGGGAAAAAGATTGGGGCAGCCAGAATAAAATTTGGAATCAGTTCATGAAGCTCACCTGTTGGTCTGAGTCAAGTACGGAAATGTGGACTTCCCTGTCGGAGGCCGCGTAAAAGAAACCAGTGGCTGTAGACTATGTGATATGGCTAAGAATTAGTGCAGATGTATCCATATATTAACTTTATCTTAATAGTCATACTGAATTTCAGTATGTTCTCATTTCTCCTCGCTCTCTTTTGACGAAATTTCCATTATTTGTGATTGGTTTCTTCTTCATCTTTCACCTCGCTGAATGTGTTAATATGAGGTGTGATAACTTGGACAGTTATGTTGTAATATTAGGCCTTATTTTGATATTTGTCCGTCTGTCCTGGAACATTTCAGTTGACTGGTTGAACATGTGGAAAATTCAGAACTTGTTGGAACTACAAATAACTAGGACCACAGTTGTTTTAGTCCAATGAACTTCACTTTTGACAAGATGAAATGGTCAGACTCTGATTTACGTAATTTGGACATTTTGAACTGACATCTCACAACTGATGCACATTACAAACCAATAAAATGAACCTGTATATCATGATGGCGTTGTATTGTTTTTCTGATTGCAATGGACATCGAGGTCAAAGCGACTATTTCCAATAAGTGTGACTTTCTTATCCTGTTTATATGTGTATAAGCAACTAATGATGATACATGGTTCCCGCAAAAGATAATGCATTAATTTTAATCCTTTAGCTGAAAAGATTTTTAACAGACCTAACAATGCCTTCACTTGCTGGTAACTACTTATCGTTTGTGCTGACAGGTAATTAGAAAATAACCAACATTACGGTGTTCAGTTTGCAATACTGAGAAAATTCTAACGCGACCACAAATTTCACTAAATTCACATCGAAATGTATATTATTTCATGTTGCATATCCAATGGCAAAGGAACTAGATGTACGCACAGTATTGGAAAATTATTGTTTTGCATAACAAGGGAAACAATTAGTATAAGATTATTATAGACTGCACGTACCATGAACAAATCGTTCTTTGCCGATCGAATACATTCCACAAATAACCAAGGTAGTAGGATCCTTCGTCAGGTATTGACGAGTGATTTCCAATGCTGCGTGAATTACTTTTTCTTGTGTAGGGAAGTCATACTGAGAGGAACAATATCTGCGAGTCAACAAATCACAAAGTGAAAAATAAAAAATGAGTCTAACTCCTCGAAAACATCTAGGTTCTGCAAGTATAATAACATTAACTGCTACGGAATATATCTGAACCTTTTCTATCTGTTTTAAATGAAATTCCTTTCGTACATTTCTTATTTTATCACCTTTAAGTAGTCTATGAAATCGTCTCTGATGCAGATATTTATCAAAAACAAAACAACAACAAACAAATCAACTCTTTAACGTATCGGAACAACTGTCATCAGACCCTTTCGTAACGTATCTTCTTAGTAGTTCACTCACAATAAAATCAACTAAAAATACTGACTACGAACTACAAACTTCGGAGTAAATTCTAGGTTTCATGCTCTCAGAATAAATACAATCAAACTGAGAAAGTAAATAAGACTGAATTCATTCGAAAAAAGTAGGTCAGTTAGATATCCGGTCCTTCAAGAAAGACAATGCTCATTTGGTAAAACCTTACTGAAGTGAATGACTACTTCATTGGCTGTATTTATCCGATCGTATAGACAGTTTTTGTGGCATCGCTTTTCCACTCTGAACAGAGCAGATCGCTCAGAATTTCGGTTACAGCAGAAGTACAGAAATAAAATCCCACTGCTACTGAAATCTAGCTAGAGAGTGACTACTTCATTCTCTGAGTAACGTTCGCACCTAAATTGATCAGTAATGAACTTTACTGTAGTGCCGGTACTAGTACCTCTTCATTGTAACTCGCGATAAAACAAAAAAATTAAGCTAGGGAAAGAGGTTATGCAAAACGTTTTTAAATACAGAGCTTAGATTTTCGATCATGTACAACAGGTGTTTCGATTATGCATACTTAGTGAAAACAGACCTTTAGAGTATTTCAACTTAACTTGTTAAACTACTTCCCATGACAAATTACGAAAGGCTGAATGAAATGACTTTTATGTGTTCACATGTGGATGATGTTGCTGCTTTTCGTTAACCTTCGATAACAAAATTTTCGAAGCGTTTTAACTCACGCCAAGTTTACTCAGCTTTACAGTACCAAGTAAATTTATGAGCTAATATGGATATGAACATAAACGGTAAACTATCCTTCATATGATGTCAAAGCAAACGAGGATTTGAATACATTTACTGTAAGTTAGCGGATCAGAAAGCACTTCTGGCGCACTTCAATAGGTGGCTCTTCAGTACTTTAGTTACTACATCCCCTTTGAACCCTTAATTAATAAACAAAATTTTCCTTAGCACTGTAGCTGAGTAAAATGTTATTTGCATTTTAAGTGTCTATAGATAACATTAATTGTTTTGATCTCACAGTTTCGATTTCATCATCAACTGTATCCTCTGAGCATATCTTCAAAATTCTAGAACACAATGAATGAGTGAGATTCCTTTGTCTACCTAGAGGTTTACAACTGTTTAAGTTATTGAAACGTTCTGTCCAGTTTGGTTCGCGATAGACTCACTTCTGCAGTGAAATGTGGAATTTAATTCTTCCTCAGGAGTGAGTCTTATAGACGGTTTAGAATCAAAATCACGACCTTCTACCACTTTTGACTGCTTTCTTCTTTATTCCCTTATCTCTACTCTTAGTGCTTTTTCGTTTGATGTGTTGATTTGAGGTGTTGGAACTTGCACCGCCACGTAGTAGAGCCTAGTCCTATGTCAATCTTATCGTCCTTGAAACGTATAAAGAGTTCATACAGCGGATAGTTTTCATGGCGAATAAGAAAGATGCCGACCACATACCTTCTACATACATAAACTTCGGAAATTATTTCGGTTAGTGGATAAACAGACAAATCAACATAGAACATGGCAAAGAACTGCATTAGTCCAAGTCGCTACGCTTCACAAGAGCATGCAAAGAAGGAGGGGATGATGAAATAAATAATGCGACTCAACCAGGTACATGCTTATGTACCCGAATATGAGTCACACCTGTTGTATGTGGATAACTGGTAATACACAGTTGCGCAGGTGTGGCAAGTTTTGAACCTAGGAACCTAGAGAAAAGATGAAGGTGCGCATGACCTTCATCTTTTCCCACCTAAGCTTACCTCTAAATAGTTGGTTCTGGATACTTCTTCAAGTAAGTTTTGTAGTCAGTACAAAGAACTCACCCAGATGTATCGTGGTTGATCTCCTCCTGTGTATTTTTGTGCTCCCGTTTCGAATTTCCTCTGCTGCTCGCTTTTGTTATTCACTTTTCAGGTTTACCTAACCAGTCCTGTACTCAAATGGAATCCTAGAAATCGCATTTGTCAGTGTGCACCTTGACATCAAAACCTTATGACGAACGCGCACACCCGAAGGTCATGACTGTGATGCGGCCCCACCTTCAAGAATATTGGAAGATTTAAACAATAACCGAATAATTCCTAATTTCGAACTGAGTCTGCTTCAACACACCTCTTATATGCCATGAATAACGGTACCTAATGTTTAGCTTAACATTGTACATTATAGTCATTTCTCATTACCAAAATGACCAAACCTGTAAACTGGTTTGTATGCATGTAACCTATGTTGTATGAAATATATATATATATATATATATATATATATATATATATATATATATATATATATATATATATATATATATTATTACCACTGCTTGAAACTCGAATTATTAAGCCGATGAGCTACATCACGAAAAAGAGGCGGATAGAGAAAGAATGACATCAAAGTAGGCAAATGTGTATGAACGGAGAGAAGAAAAATGACGCTATAAAAATGCAACCAAGACGGCCTAGTAGAGACTTCATGATGACTCCATCCTAAACTATGCTTTAAAAGTTCATCCTAATATCAGCTATTTTAAACGGTTTGTTAACAGTATAGTGCTATTACAAGTACTGTAATCTCATAGATGACAAGTCGTTCCTACTAGTGGAATATTTGTGAACAAAGAAATATCATGCAATTACATAAGTTTACTCGTTGCATTGATTTCTTCTATGCAACAGACGAAGGCAGATGTATCTGAAACGCCATAATTACAAAGATTTAACCGTACATTTTCAACAATTTTTGCGAGCCACTTTGTCGTTGAGCGATAAGATGAATTAGGCACATTTTATCACCAGGTGAAGACCACACCACTTTTATGTACTTTAGATAGACCGAACGATTAGAATATAATTGAGAAGTACAGTCCAAAATGCTTATCCATGTTCACGGTAATTAGGGACTATTCTTTCAATTCGCTTAAGGCTCTGATATTTTAATTCTCACTCTTTTACGTCTTGTTTTTCTGATCTCTGGATATAGTTTATTCCACCACTTAGGACTGTGTATAATTTATCAACATAATGCTCTCGATCCAAAAAGATGATTCCTGATCCTCCATCACAGCATACAAGAATTACATCTTTGAAATGATGGGAAAGATTTATAGCTCAGGATGGGGATGATGGTAATTCAGTGTTCTGTCTTCGGCATTTAATCATCAGGTTTGATGACATCATCAGCACTGACTTCATAAAGAAATGAAACATATTCAAATGTTACAAGAATGTTTAGGTAGTGTTACTGCTGACCTTGAGTGATGTCTGAGTGTAAGTTGGGGAAAAGATTTTGTCACACCTCGACCTCACATTTTATTCGGCCACGCTGATAGAAAATCTCTGTTAGAGTGAAATTGTGCTATTTGTTACTGTCACATTGTAATTCATCGTTATTTGTTTGGATAATTTGCACTTATTTGATGGATGATTTGTTGACTGAGTTTTCGTTGGAATGCTGTACTCCTAAAAATTCCCCTGCAGCTTTCGAACCTGTTCTTTGGAGGATTTCCACATTCTCCTAGTCAAATATGTGACCCTGATTGTCTGCCTGCGTTGAAACCAAGAAGGTTGTGTCGCGTGTTTATGAGTTCTTCGAGCAACTTGATCTCTAGACTGACCAACGTAGTATTGTGTACAATCTTTGCTGTTGCTTTTGTAGATTACGTTTTCCTAGTTTTCCTTTGACAACGGATTATCTGATTTGCACAACATGCTCTATGGTTGTTTAGTTGGCTTGTGTGCCACCCTGATCCCGAACAGATGAAGCAGTAAACTGACAGCTTCTGAAGTGTCCTTCATATAGGGTACGGCATCGCATTTATTGATGTTAGGTAATTCCACCGTTCCTTGTTCTACTTTTTGAAAAAGGTATACGAATGATCTCCAGCTTTAATCGCTTTGCAACTACACAACATCAAAAATTAGTAAAAACACTGAAGTAGATTTTAATTCCATTTTAGTCTGTATATTAGAAATGTCACAAAGTGAAACAGTATCATTTACTAGATAACGTTTTGGCCATAATTTGTCTATATTCATACCATGTAACTCCACAACTTTGAAATGTAATTTATATGCTTTTAATTTTCTCTCCATCTTCGTAACAAGGGTAGTAGAATTTTTCATATATCTGTGACAGGTTAGGAATCCTTTCTATTACATGTATTCGGTGTTGATTCGATAAACAAAGATTCGCTTATCAATCTCTCCCTTCACCTAACTACATAGGTTTTTAATACTGTCGCTCTATCCCATCCTATTGTGTGTAATTGTGTGCACAACTATTCCGAGCCCTTCCCTAAATTTCCTATCGTATTAAGATCTAGCAATCTTGATTTAGCCGAATAATGTAATGATGAACAGCTCGGTTACTGTGAGAATATGGCTGAGATACGTGGATAGTACGTTTTGTAACGTTAAACGCAATTACTTGAACGAACTGGATTATCATTCTCCACACACAACCACTAAACTGACGGTTGAGAAGAGTTTCATCAACAGGGCTAATTATATGGTGACAATGGTAGAAGACAAAAACAATGAGTTAAAGTTAATTCGACCTACACTTATAGCAAGTAACTATGCCGGATAGATTTGCAAGAAGAGTCTTTAAAAAATGAAGTTAAGAATGGTCCGAAATGTTCTCCAAAGAAGTTGATCAACACTAAGGTGATTCCATATTGCGAAGAGATATCGGATGAAATCAGAA